AGAGATGCTCGGCCCACCTGGTCCATCTTGGGTATCACTTTCCACCTGCCCCCCATCCGGAAGCGCAGCAGGTTGTAGAACTCCTCGGGGTGGCCCAGGCACTTCACGAACTCCATGCTGCGGGATGGCGGCGACGGGCTATCAGACCTCGGGGATCACTTCTCAGGATCTCTGGCTCGCGATTGGCGGCAACCCGCGGAGGTGAGCCGAGGCGGCGCAGCCCGGAAGGCGGGCGCGGAGGCGGGCCCAGCGCGGCGGAGCCCCGCCCATGTCCCGCCCACTTCAACCGGCCTCGGGCGCTCGCGCGGCTACCCGGAGCTCGCGGGGTGGACTGACGGGCGCTGATTGGGCAGAGCCGCTCGCACCAGGAAGACGCCGACCAATCGGCGGCAAGACGAACCTGGCGTGACGACCACGCCCTAGAAGCTCATTGGAGGGTTGAAAGAAGCCTGAGAGCGGGATTGGTGTCCTAGAGAGGGCCTTTGTTTTCCTTAGCTTACAGCTGCCCGGGGGCGAGCCGCAGTTAAAGTGCGCTTCGCGAGAGTTGCTCGGAGTCGACCCTCAGCGCAAGCTGCCCACTGTTCATTCTTGTACCCGCCTGTGTCGGGCTCGCGGGCGTGGACTTCACCGAGGCCTAAGTAGAAAGCCTTTAAAAGGCGGCCGGCTACCAAGCCGTTGGGCATGCGCTGCCCGCTGCAGGTCGGGGAGAAAGCAGCCGCGGCCGCGGCCGCTCGCGCACGTGCACTCCCAGCCCAGCTCCCGCTGCTGCTTCTGCAGCCCGGGGTCGGGCGCGCGCCGCCTCGGGTGCACTTCGCAGCTGATCCCACTAAGCCTCAGAAAAATGCAAGCAAAGTGGGAATTGATCTCTTCCTAGACCTCAAGCCCCAGACGCCACCGGCTGCAGTAACCTCCTTCGGTCTCCCAAAACCACACCCGGTGCTCCTTTTAAAATCTAAGTCAGGCCGGGTGCGGTGGCGCACGCCGGTAGCCCCAGTGACAAGGAGGCTGAGGCAGGAGCATGGTAGGTTCAAAGCCAGCCTCAGCAATTTAGCGAGGCTAGAAGCAACCTAATGAGACCCTGTGCCAAAATAAAAAGGGCTGGGAATGTGGCTCAGTGGTTACGCGCCTTTAAGTTTAATCCCTAGCGCGGGAGCACGCACACACGCCAGCCTCAGCAATTGATTGAGGCCCTGAGCAACTTAGTGAGACCTTGTCTCTAAAAAAAATAATAATAATAGGAAAAGGCTGGGGATGTGGCTGAATGGTTAAGCTCCTGGGTTCAAACCCTGGTAATTAAAAAAAAAAAAAAAAAAATCTTAAGGGAAGCTCACTGCCCCACCATCTCTCCATTTCACTCAGCCTTGAACTTGTGATCCTCCTGCCCCGCCCCCCCCCCCTTCAAAATCACAGGAATTACAAGTTGCCATTCTTCCAGCTAGAATGTCATCTTTAGGTGCTGGCACTGATGTGCCCAATCTCTCTCTCCCTCTCTTGCTTTTTCCCTCTCAACTAATCATACACAAGTCTTCACATTATATCCATCCGTTAAAAAGTTACTCTTCTCCTTGACCTTCTCTTTTCAACCCTTTTCCTCCAAGGCCGAATTCTAAAGAGAAGACCTCCCTCCACATTGCACTTTCTCAGCTGCTATCTAGTTCCCAGCCCCTCTACACTGGTATCACTCTGCACAAAGTGCTCTCTTAAAGGTCATCATGACCTCAAATTTGATTAACTGCCAAATCCAAAAGGCCTCTTCTTAGCCATTCTCTTTCATCTTGTCATGATTCACATTATTCTCAGCTTCTATTGGAATTTCTTTTCTCCCTACTCCTTCTAATTTGGCTCACTGGCTTCTTTCTCCTCTGGTTCTTTAAATAGTATTTCTTCAAGATTCCATTGTGCTCTCCAATTTTCCTCAACCCTAGTTGATATCCCCTAGCTGACCAGCTATGAAAAGGGCTGCCAAAATGCAGCTAAGCTCAGCCTGGACTTGTAGAGAAACAGGCCTCCTTTCTGATCCCATTATCCTCCCAGCACATAGGTACTGCAGGTGCCTGGAGCTCTACACGTTTTTTTTTTTTTTTTTTAGTTATACATAATGATGGGATTTGATGTTACATATTTATGCGTGCACACAATATAACAGTATCCTCAAACTCACAGTCCTCCTACTTCAGCCACTCTTGGGCAGCTGAGATTACAGGCATGTGCTCTCAGCTCCTCTCTGAGGTTTGATAAACAGCCACTGAGCTCCTGCTCATCTCCCTCCTGATTTCCTGTCTCAACCAGGGGATGGCTTCTTCCTACCTCCACATGGTGGGCTCCAGCCAACTTCAGCTCTTGCAATCCATTCCCCAGTCCCCACATCTGGTTACCTGATGCCCACGGAGCCCCTCACTGAGGACCTTCTCTTCTTTCAACGCCTGCAGCTGTACTGAGCCCTGTCATTTCTTTTCTTGGCAGATGCATCAGCATTTTTCTTTTCTTCCCATCAGAACTAGAGTCCATGTGTGAAGATCCATATGTGGGCTTCAGCTTCCCACCCCACCTTCTCTCCTATTCTGGGTCCACCATTTTACAGTTGCTGACCCACAGAGAATGGTGGAGCAGCTTTGTTTTAGCCTACAATTTTACTGTAGCATCATCTTATAAGGGTTAGGAAGGTGAATTTCAATAACAAGTACATTTTTGTATATTACATTTTTTATGTGAATGTGCAGAAATTGCTCTTCTGGAAGGAAATGACCTATTTATCAAATATTTTCATATCACTTTGTTCAGAAGCGGGATTTTTTGTTTTGTTTTTTGGTACCAGGAATTGAACCCAGGGAGCGCCTAACCACTCAGCCACATCCCCAGCAGTTTTTTATTTTATTAGAGACAGGGTTTCACTGAGTTGCTTAGGGCCTCGATAAGTTTCTGAGACTGACTTTGAACTCGTGATCCTCCTGCCTCCGCCTCTGGAGTCACTGGGATTACAGGCATGTACCACTTCTCCAGGCCAGAAGTGGGTTTTTTTAAAAAGGTAAATGTTTTTTAAAAAGCCGAAGAGAGATGGCCTCAGAGAGGCTAAAGATTTTCCCCAATCCTTTTATAGCATGTATTAAACAGAATAGTGTCACCCTAAAATTTATGTATTTAGACACAGGGCCTTTAAAGAGAAAATTTAGTTTATTAAAATATTTTTTAGTTGTCATTGGATACATTTATTTTATTTATTTATGGTTATGTGGTGCTGAGGATCGAACCCAGGGCCTCACATGTGCTAGGTGAGCCCTCTACTGCTGAGACACAACCCCAGTCTGAGTTTGTTTTGAGACAGTATCTCACTAAGTTGCTGAGGTCAGCCTCAAATTTGCAATCCTCCTGCCTCGGCCTCCTGAGTCACTGGGATTAAAGCTCTGTGCCACCATGCTGCTCTGAGGAAATTGCTTAAATCACATCACAAGGGTTGGCCCCTGATCCAACAGGGACAGTATCCCCATAAGGAGACAGCAGAAGTGTGCATGCACAAAGAAAAGTCCACATGACAAAGGAAGGATTTAGATATACGACTATTGATTCTAGCTGCAGCCAATGGTCTAAAACACAGGGGCACTTTAGAACAGTGACTTGAGCATCCAGTCAAGTGATGCTTGGAAAGTCTGGGATCCCATGGATTATAACAGCTATATTCTACACTGCGTTCCAAGGAAGAGAGAGAAAAAGAGTTCACAATAAAATTGGGTTGGAAACACCAAGAAGAGCAAACTAAGAGAGTCTGCATTACTGTGGAGGGATTTCCTGAAGACTTTAAGAGCTCCACAAATGTCCAAGTGGGAGAGATGGCACGTGATATTTCTCAAACTTATACTTTTCATCTGTAAGGCACGATCCTTCCTTGGATCACTTTTTCAGAGCTGATGAACCTAGCTCCCTGAAGGGCATATCCCTAGTGTTCTGGAAGATGTGAGCCAGGACTTGTTCTACTCCTGTGGAAACTGTGGTGCCCCACGGAGGGACTACAGTGTGGTGGGCAAAAAGTGGGTGGCTGTTATGGAGCGTTTGTGTGTTGATTAGGTGTTAATGGAGTCATAGTTGAGTCATGAGATGTTCCCATCATGGGACTAGTGTCCTTCTAAGAGGAGGAGGATATCTCAGCATTCCCCCCCCTGTGAGGTCACAGAGAGGCACCATCTGCAAGCCAGGAAGGGGCCTGGGTAAGCTAATCAACCTTGATCTTGGAGTTGCCATTTCCAGAGCTGTGAGAAATAAGTCTATTAAGTCACCCAGTCTATAGTGGTGGATTTTTTTGTTTTTATGGCAGACTGAATGAAAGCTGTGGCTCTGGACTTTGAACTGTGTGATCTCAAACAAATTCCTTAACCTCTCCAGACTTCAGTTCTCTCATTCATAAAATAAAGACAAAAAGAACAAGTACCTAGCTCCATGGGTTGTTCTGCAGATTATGTGCAAGAACTATGGTAAGCGGCAAGCACCGGGTTGGGGTGAGCACTCAGTGCAGAGCGAGCACCCAGTGAGGGCTGAGCACGCCACTCAGGGTGAATGCCTGGTGCAGGGAGGGCAGGTGAGCACCCAGCACTGGTCAGTTCATGTTAACTATCTCAAAGGGAAGTAGCTGGCTATGATGTGGTTACCCCCCTCCACGGACAGCACTCAGTAATTTCAGACAGATGAGCATAAAGAAAGGCCAGAAACATCTGCTACTCTTTTCAATTTCACTCTCAGGAATCATCATCTCCCTTGTGCCAGAAGCAAAGGTATACCTCTGCTCCCCTGGGGCAGATGGGCACTCACCTCCCTCCCTGTGTAAGTGGATGCATCAGTCCAACCGAGCAAGCTCTGAGAGGCCACCTTCATAATGAGATGCTATTTATAGTAAAAGACCCGTCACTGGGCCTGGGGTGTACTCAACAATGGAGTGGTTGCCTAACCCAAGACCCCAAGTTTGATCCCCAACACCTCAGGAAAAGACCAAAAAAACAAAACACACAAAAACAAAACAATCAAAAAAACCTTTACTGCCAAATAAAGATGACACAGAAATAGCAAAGAGCTTTATTTTCCTGTTGTTGCTTTCCAGCTTCATTTAGTTACCAACAACCTGAGGAATGTTTCTCTATGTCCTTTGGTTCCTGAATTGTTGATGCATCAACAGCCACAAACATTTCAACTTAAGGAGTAAACAAGTAGCTTTAGCTTCTCTTTAAAGGCCACTGGATCCCCGGAGGGTAACTGACAGGCCCTGAGTTCCCCACTGGGCGGGAGACGCCAGCAGGAGCTGGACCAGCACTTTTCTCCTGCAGCTCCATCCTCATCCCCAGGACCCTCCACAGACAACAGACAACAGGGAAAGAAACTTCCGTTTTCCTGTTTCTCAAAACCAAAAGCCTTAAGATCAACCAAACTTTCCAAAACAGGACACTTGCCAAGCCTTGCTGGGAACACAGTCATGTCCCACCCACCCCCAGGCTGTTGGTTTTAGGGCTCTACCATCTTTCTGGGTGTTCCCCTCACCTGTGAAGACTGCCTTCCTCAGGAAGAATCAACGGAAGTAGAAAAGAAAACCTACCCCTATGAAATCTGTGCCTCAGGCACAATCCAGAGAGTGAACATAAACAATACTGACACCTCACAGCCCAGGCTGTCCTCTGTGGCCACCCACAATCCCTGCCCACACCTTCCCTTCTGGACACACAGGCCCCATGGTCCTCAAGGACAAGTACCAAGAAGAGCCTGAGTGCCTCAGGGGTGTTGGAGCTGCTGTGGCTCCTCAGGGGGCACCTGGGGCTGGCACTGTGGGCACCACCAGGTGAGCCTCTGGAACCCGCCTGGGGGCCCAAGGGGCTCCTTGAGGAGCTGGTGCCCAGCAGGACACTGCTCCTTCCGGTAGATCTGCGTGTGCTGTGGCTTGCCCTGGAACTTTCCCTGAAGCCAGCCCATACTGAACTCCACCACATGGTCCACAAGGGCCTCCCGGCGAGAAGCACTCAGGAGCGAGCCCAGAGAAAGGGGATGGATCCTGGCTCTGTACAAGGCTTCATTCTTAATGATGTTCCCTGAAACAAAGCAGGGAAAGGGTGAGGAGGGACACGCCACATGCCACAGTGAAACCACCCCAAAGGGAGCAGAGCTGGTGTGATGGCGGGGAGCACGAGCTCTGTCACACAGGGGCCTCCGGGGCAGGGCGGCAGGCTCCGCGTCCATGCCCTCTGCAAAATGCATTTGGCCACGCTCCCCCTGAAGGCTGTTGTGAAGCAAAATGAAGTAACACATGTGGGTCCCACGTCACAGCCAAGAGGCTGCTAGAAGGGCCTGACTCCTGACCGCCTGCACTGGAATCCCAGCTCCACCAGATCCTACCATATGGCCCTGGCAGGTCCCTTGGCCTCTAAGTTTCAGTTTCCTCATCTGTAAAACAGGAATGGCTTTGCTGGTTTTTGTGAGCAGTCAGTGAGACGTCACCTAAGAATGCTGAGCTCAGTGGCTGGTGGAAACATGAACTGTTCCATGCAGAGTTTAGGAGGTCTTATTCAATTATTTGTCTATTCCTGCCTCATTCTTTATGAAGCCAGCCTCAACCCCTTCTTCCAGAATCAATGCCTCTCTTCAAAATATCCCCCCAGTTTCTCTCTTTAACCCTACTGGGCCTTTATTATACCCCACCTCATCTCAGGGGAACTGGCCTGGTTTGCTGAGCCTTTTTAAACAATGGCTGTGTTAGGCTAAGAAGGCAAGTTTACCAGAGGGCAGGGGTGCAGTAGGTTTGGGGGAATGGATGAATGAAGTGACTGCCCTTTCCTGTTAGTGAACAGAGGACTCCCAGCTGCCTGCAGACCCTGGCCCCGTGCCTCTCGGTGCCAGGATGGCACTAGGCAGTGGAGGACACCAGGGGCACAGGCACGGCCCCTGCCCTTCAGGAGGTCACGCCCTAATGCACCTCAGGAAGCATAGGCTAAGAATCCAGTCAGGGTACAAATTCTGAAGCAGAAGTTAGAAAATGCTTATCTAACCACCTCTTGTTTTAGGGGCAAAAGGTAGTAACAGATATTGAACCCAGGGGTGCTTAACCACTGAGCCACATCCCCAGCCCTCTTTTGTATTTTATTTTCAGACAGTGTCTCACTAAGCTGCTTAGGGACTTGCTAAGTTGCTGAGGCTGAGTTTAATCCTCCAGCCTCAGCCTTCTGAGCCACTGGGATTACAGGCGAGCATCACATGCCCGGCTCTAATGACTAAATACTAACTTATGAAAGAAATATAATGCTAAATTACCAATCATCCATTTTACATCCTGAGATTCTGTGTAATTTTAAAGACCAGGGAAGCTAAAGAGATAAAGTCATCACTTCAAGACCAACAGAACTATCCTCAGGACTCGAGACTCCCAGATGAATGACTTTTCCATTGGACGACTCTGAGGGACTCCCCCCTGACCCGTCAGTCATACCTAACCCTGAGAAGTATCTCTGGTTCAACAGTGTATAGCACACAGGCTGAGCCTGGCCCAGAGCCTCCAAGGCTTGTCCTCGATGGAACTTTTCAGACAAGATGTCACAGGTAGGTTTGATCACAGGAGAAGGGCTCCAACACATCTGGCAATTATAAAATGCCAGGAAGCCACCACCACCAAAGTGTAGGACCAACCTGGAAGAAAGAACAAACCACATGCACATGAGCTTCCACTGTGTCAGGTCACACTACGCTGCGACTCTGACGAACCTGGGGAAAGCCAGGCCTTGAAGAGAAAATGGACAGCTCTGTCAGAGTCACAGACATCACAGAGCTAAATGGAGTCGTTAGAACAAAACATACACATGGGTTTATTTTTTCTGAGTATCTTCTGTTCACAGAAGAAAACCTGGAAAACAGAACAGCTCAAAGTTCAGGGGGTCTGACGACCTAGAACACAAAAAGGGGGCTCACCAGTAAGGAACACAGAGAAATGGCTGCAGTGAGGCTCTACCTCCAGCCCCAGGCTAGATTTACCAAAAAAGACCCAACTCCCCTGAGCTGTCAGGGACAGAGCACAAAGTTATAAATGCTGATAAAGAAATGATGGCAACCTCAAGGACAGCTAATCAGAGCAGAACTGCCTCCACATCTGAAGGGGAAGATCCCTGAGCCCATGCCTTGGATGGAGTGAGTGTCCCTGGGGAGAGCTGGGACCAGGAGAACCCACTCTCAGTGCCCAGGAAACCACTCCAAGAAAAGATACATACCCAGCAAAAATCACACCAGCAATGGTCTCAATGGGGGAGATGGGGAGGAGGTGAAGAAGTGAGCAATGGAATTCTGTAACAGGTGCCATGGGACATCAATGGATCGTGATTATGACAGTGCACCTAAGAACCATGGCGCCAGGATCAGGAAAGAGTTCTTGAAATAAAAGATATCCCTTTTAATGTTATTTAATGTATAGTTATAATATAATGATATTAATTAATTTAATAACCTGGAACTGAAAATCCAAATCAGCTTGACAAACTCTGAAACTGGGGTGAATATGATAGAAAATTATTAACAAGTAGAAATACTCTAAAAGATTGATCTGAAAGGTGGGGATAGTAAGCAAAAACAGTTTTAATTTTTATGTTAGTAAAATCTGGATGGTTAGAGCTGCAGTGGGGCACAACCATAATGCCAGCAACTGGGGAGGCAGAGGCAGGAGGATCCCTAGTTTGAAGCCAGCGGTGGGATCCTGTCTCAAAATAAAAGAATTAAACAGGACCGGGGCTGCAGCTCAGTGGTAGAGCGCCCCTGGGTTCAATCACCTGTACTGCAATTAATAAATAAGTAAAAACTAAAAAAAAAGACCCTAAACTCCAAAACATTTAGAAATTAATTAAGAAACAGTCTTCCATAAAGAAAGATTATATAAAGCAATAATTATTTTCTTCAAAGACCAAAAAAGAGTATAAAACTCAGGCAAGCCTGGTAGGGAAAAAAAAAAAGGACAGAGCCAACTATAAAATACGAACAACAAGAAGGAACTTGACAAGAGGGTAACAGAAGAGGACAATACGTGTTCACTCTGTGACCACCAGGGTGAGCTCCGGAGAGAGCCTGTTTCAGGGAGAGAGGTCCAGTTTCCCAGCTTGTGACTAATTCCAACATAGCACCTTGCCAGGTGTGGCCAGCAGGGAACCCAGCTGGGGCCCTGAGCAAGCCGTCCACTCAGCAGAAGCCTAAAAGCGGCTCCTCCCTCTGGCTGCTCCTGGGTGTGTATAAAGCCTGAAACTGCAGCTGCTTTTTGCTGCTGGCCCAAGGAAACAACCCAGGAGTGGCAATGTGCAAAGCCAGGAGAGTCTCAGGAACAGGAGGCAGGACTCAGAACCCAGCCAGCTCCAGAGAGCCTCCCTCGGACCTCCTGAGCTACCTGAGCTGCCGAAAGCATCCTGTGGGCCCTACATGATACTGTAAGCAAAGACAAAGTTTGAAACCTAAAAGCAAAATTTGAAAATAGAAAAGTCAGGAGGATCACAAGTCTGAGGCCAGCCTGGGCAATTTAACATGATCTTGGCTCAAAATACAATAAAAAGGTCTGGAGATGCAACTAAGTGGAAGAATGCTTGTTAGCAGGCATGAGGCCTTGGGTTCAATTCCCAGCACCACCACCTAAAAAACCCAAAACAACAACAACAAAAACCCTTCAGGTGACTCTGGAGTAGACGGGACCTCTTTAGTCAGAGGGAAACTTAGGAGTGACCAAGAAAAACACTGTTGACTACATAAACAGTAAAAACCCCAAATGTCAAAAAGCATCATAAACATAGTCAAAGGACACCAGAGAGCCTCAAACAATAGAGGCAGCACATATCACAGAGGCTACCAGACTGAACGTCCACGAGCTTCAACAAATTGATAAAAAGTACACAAAGGACCCAAAGCTAGCGAGAAGGCAGCCAAGCCAGCGCTTCTGTACAGCCCCGAAAACTTGCAGCCACAGAACATTCCTTGTCTTCACCAGCAACTCCCCTCTGGCACGAGCCCCAAGGAAATAACCCAAAACACGGAGATGGCTGCACAAAGTCATTTTTATCAACATTCATAGATTAAAACCTGGGCAAACCTGTCCCCAAGTTCAGAGAGCAAGAGTTGAGGCATGAAATGCTCTTCAGAGACCATCTGCCCTCAAGTTCCTCGTGTGTTGGAAACTCCCCTTCTCCAGGCCACCCCAGGGAGTCACGATCTCCCCCTCAGGTGCAGACCGCAGCCTACTTCCCAACCTGGGTAAATACCACAGCCTCTTCTGTCTCCTAAACAGCAGGTGCTAGGGTTGGCCATCCACCTGAGCGTGACCCCCCACACCCAGCACCACACCCTGCCACGGTGGGGACCACAGGAATACTGCAGACCCTGCCAAGAACCCAACACCCACACCGTTACCTGGGCACAGGATCCCTCCAGTCACCTCTCTTGTTGGCTTTCGTGGCTCTGGAGAACTCATTCACCCAGACACTGCCAAACAGACCAAAGCTGACCTGCAGCCACTGTGGGGCTCCTGTTGCAGGGCCATCTGTCCCCAGACCCTCGGGAACATCTGATCCACTGGGGTCAAGCTCCACAGACGGACAGGATTCATCAGAGGTTTTGAGTCTGCTGGGCCCCAAGGCTGGCTCTGGGGCCACAGTCTCTTCCTTCCTTGCTCCTTTCTGTGGAGGCTCTGGCAGTGGGTTGCTACCAGGGGACCCCGATTCTTCATCTGGATCAAATCTAAGGAATAATTTTTTTCCATGAACCTAGGAAAAAATGAACATGGATCTAAGCTTTACAGACCCAAAAAGGAGCTAAGGGCTACACAGTTACCCAACTGCCCACTGACTCCTTCTCCTTGCTGTGAAGCTGCCCCAGATTGCGTATCTGGGTCCTGCCTTTTGATCTTTTTGCTGTGGTGGTGTGGCCAGTTGGCCCATGGCTTTCAAAGTGACTGGAAGCAACTGGAAGAATTAGATTAGTAAAAGACAGACCTATACCAGTCAGCACAGCCACCCTAGAATATCTGAGCAGAACTGTTCCCAATGTTTTCAGGAATTGGCTAAGAAATGAGCACAAACCAGGTGCCTTGGCCACACCTGTAATCCCAGTGGCTCTGGAGTCCGAGGCAGGAGGATCATGAGTTCAAAGCCAGCCTCAGCAAAAGGCAAGGTACTAAGAAACTCAGGGGGACCTTGTCTCTAAATAAAATACAAAAAAAGGGCTGGGGATGTGTGTGGCTCAGTGGTTGAGTGCCCCTGAGCTCAATCTCTGGTACCAAAAAAAAAAAAAAAGAAATGCAAATTATCATTCTTCTATTCCACTCATACTACATGTCTTTATTCTAGAATTAATCAGTGTGTGCACAGCCATGGACTGTGGCTGAAGACAACACACTGTGAGATCCAGTATCTTTTTCCCACCTTCTGCCCAGCAAACCAGACTTGACAAAATAGCTACAAGTGAATTCACAATTAAAATAGATATATAATCACTTGCCAGATCCTTGTATGAAGTGTGTGCACACCCAGATTCCAGGATGAGTCTTTTCCACGCAGCCTGAAATCCAGGAAGCCTTTCAGTGATCAAACCAACCCATCTGCCTTTAATGCTGGAAGTGCTTGTGTTACTTTTTGACCGTCAAAGGTACATCAAGATTATTGTTTTGATACGACCTACAATCTGTCCATTAGTTAAAAACTACAACGGTAGCCTCTCGGCAGACTATATCACCTGTCTAATAATAGTTTATCTGCAGAATAATTTGTCTGGAAATTCGAGCACAGATTATTTTCTGCCACATATTAGGGCATAACTGGGCGTGCACATGCACACACTGAACAAGGAATTAAGTGGACATATTAGAATTTATTCCAGAAAATACTTTCTCAGTGTAAATTTGCCAGTATTGAAATAATTCTGATTAAAATATTTGTCAATCAAGTGTCATACATGCCTATAACCCCAGCAGCTCAGGAGGCTGAGGCAGGAGGAAGATAAGTTCAAGGCCAGCCTGGGCAACTTAACCCAGTCTCAAAAAATAAAAAGTAAAAAAAAAAAAAAAAAAAAAAAGCACAAAAACAAAAGTACACAATTAAAAAAATAATAAATAATAAAAAGGCTGAAGATGTACCTTGGTGGTAAAGTGCCGGTGTTAATCCTTAGTACAATAATAAATAAAGTATTTGTTAAACCTTCCTCAAGGTCAAAACATTTACAGTCAAAAAGGGCTGGTCAGGATGTCCTTGTACCCTCTCCAACCATGCCAATTTCTGCTATGCTTCTTTTAAGTGCCAGGACACTGCAGTCACTTCAATTCACTAATCATTGACAACTTGCAGTATGCCTGACAGTGGGAGACTCCAGTCCTTCCCTCTAGGGGCTTCATATTTTAAAAGGGAGATAACTTTTTCACAGCTGTGAAAGCAGAAGCAACCAGGTGTCCTCCAAGAGATGAATGGGTAACATAACATGGTATGTCCATAACAGAACAGTGTTGCATTAAAAATGAAAGAATTTGGGGGGCTGGGGTTGTAGCTGGGTTCCATCCTCAGCACCACTAAAAATAAATAAATAAAGCTAATTGGGTTCTGAGTTTCAGCTAGGAAAGATTTAAAAAGATCTATCGATCTACCCAACAATACCATGAACATAATTAACTGAATACTGAACCATACACTTATAAAAGGTTGGTTAAGATGGTAAATTTTGTTATGTGTTTTTTGTTGTTGTTTTTCTTTTTTTGACACAATAAAAAGAAAAAGTAAGACACACACCAGAGACTAGGAGAACATGGAAAGAAGTGTTGGTGAGCACAAGAAGGTCCACTCTGTGAGTTACCAAGAGGCCCAGCAATTCCAGACCCATGGGAACTGAAACCACACACCCACACGAACACTTGCACATCAGTGTCCACAGCAGATTACTCCAATTATCCATCAGCTGATGAATGGACATCATCAATCATAAAATATGGCATACCCATGTAGTGGAAGCTATTCAGCAACAAAAAGGATTAAAGTACTGAGACCTGCTATAATATACATGAATCTGACATCATATTAAGAAGCCAGTCATCAAAGAAACACATACTACATGATTCCACACATATAAAATGTCCCAAAGAGGCAAGTCTACAGAAAGAGAGTAGATTAGTGGTTGCTGAAGGCTGGAGTAAAATGGGATGACTGCTAATGGGCACAGAGGTTTTTTGGGTGTAACATAAATATTCTGGGGCTGAGGGTAGAGCTCAGTGGTAGAGAGCATGCCTTGCATGCGAGAAGCCCTGGGTTTAACCCCCAGCACTGCCAAAAAAAAAATTAAAAGATTCTAAAACGAATCATGGAAAACTCAGTAAATATACTAAAAACTACTGAATTATGAAGTTTAACTGGGCAGACTGTGTGTTTTGCAAATTATATCTCAATAAAGCTGTTATAAATTTTTTAAAATGTTTTTTTAGTTGTCAATGGACCTTTATTTATTTATATGTGGTGCTGAGAATCAAACCCAGTGCCTCACCTGCTAGGCAAGCGCTCTACCACTGAGCTATAACCACAGCCCAAAGCTGTTACAAATTTTTAATTGGCGGGTTGGTTAAGATTCTAAGTATGGGGCTGTAGCCCAGTGGTAGAGTGCTTGCGTTGCATGCATGGGACACTGGGCTCAATCCTCTGTACCACATAAAAATAAACAAATAACATAAAGCCATGCTGTCCACCTACAACTACAAAAAAAATTAAAAAATAAAAAGTCCAAGTAAGCTAGTGGCAGAGCACCCGCCTAGCACGAACAAGACCCTGAGTTGGATCCCCAGCACCACAAAAGAAAAAAAGTCAAAGTATGTAGCAACATTTGAGTCCTAAACCCACCTCCAACCCACGGAAATGGGTGGAATACGGACCTCAACAGCCACACAAGGACTGCGAGCTCTGAATGTCCCATCACAGGAGCTGCATGAGTCACCTTCTGAGTCTGCTATGAGCAGTCAAGACAATTCCTACCCAGAAAGCAGAGAGCTGAAGAGGAAGGTGTCTGACAAACGGCTTGCAGAGTAGAACCCATCTTGTTTACTCCCCGTCCCTCTTCCTGTCTATAATTCCTTCTCAGACTGAAATGCCCATTTCCCCCTGAGTCTATCTAAATCCTCCAGTCTTCAAAGTTCAACTCAAGCCCCACCTCCTCCAGGTGACAGGATGCCCCCTACGTGAGGTCCTCACTGGGCTCTTAACCTTGAGATCCACTCCTCCCCATTAAGCACCGCTGTCAGTTTCCCTGTGGAGATACAAGTCTTTCCTTCCGCATCTGGTTCTGCATTCCTCAGGGGCAGGGACAGAAAAACAGACAGGTAGGAAAAGGTGCTCCTGAGAGCCCCATTAAGCAGCTCCCCAAGGCCACCTCCTTGGGCCTTTCTTGGGTTCCCACAATACAGATTCTGCCTTAGCTTGCTGCGAAACCAGCTCTGGGTCCACCTTCAAGCACTCTTGTCGCACATTCTTCTGTCCACACTGCCATTTGATAATCTTCTCTGAGTCCCAGCTCTGTGACAAGCACTGTGATAAATGCGGGGGGTCCAGAGACAAGGGACCACACCCTGCAGCTACAAACCTCCCATGACAGTCTGTACAAAGAGACCACAGCCTGGAGTTTGGAAGACCTGGCTCCACAATATGGATAGTTCTCTGAAACATGTAACTCATGGGTGAAAATGGAAGGATAAAGTCCACTTGCCGTAGCAGCAAGCCAGTGCCTCGTCCCCACGACTGAATCAAACACTCTAAAGCTAAGAGACTTGCTTAAGAGCTCCCAGCTAAGCAGCAACACAGTCTACTGAGTTTACTCTGTGGCCTGCAAACATTTACCCTGTGCCTCCTATGAGTTGGGTGTCCAGCTAAGCACTCAGGACACAAGGTTTATCCGTCTCCCTCACACCACAAGCAGCACAAATTCAGGAATAGGTACAACAGGAGGAAGTTCAGGTGTCCTCCTGGAGAGGAGTCTCACCCAGTGTCAAGCTTCTCCGAGGACAGATGGCCAAGTAGAAATCACCATGGTAAACTGAGGGGGGCAGATAGGAGAAAAGGGAAAACCTGCTCATGCAGGGGAGCAGCATATCAAAACCCTGGGCAAGAATGACCCGAGCTGGGTGATCAAAGACAGACTGGGGTGGGTACAAAGGCAAGAGAGGCATGCAGGGGTCAGATCACAGAGCCAGTGAGCCACCTGAAGGAATTCTGACTCCTGCTCAAGAAAAAGATGGACGGTTTGAACCCAGACCTGCAGCAATCCTCTTTTCTTTCATCCCCACTGGCACAAGGATCAAACTTGGTTCCCAGCCCAAAGCTGAACATCAGACACAGTTTGAATAGTCAGAATGTCTCCAAACTCTGAATGGGGGTCTCCAGCTCATGCCTCTGTGATCTTCAGAGCCCACAGTCCACGTAATGCCCACTTCTGACTGGGAAACGTCAGACTGAAAGACCAGGACCCATATGGAGTCCTGCAGTGGTTGTCCAGGGCCAATGGGAGGGATAGAATGAGACCTCTTGGGGCAGATTCCAGGGGAGGCACAGGATGGGCTAAGGGAGCCTGACTTGCAGAGGATACAGAACTCACCTGGGTGTCCTGGAGCCACAGAGACTGAAGGGTGGCAGGGTATAGCTTCTTACTGCTGCCCCCTGTCTTGACCACCTGCTGGCCCACAAAGGGAGAGATCAAATGGTGAAATTTCCTCACAGATGGTCCTTCTGGCATCTCTGCAGGCAGAAACAGGCAGAAGAGACCTTAGCTCATTCTCTCTAGCACTCCTCATTCTCCCAGCTCTTAGCAGCCGGTTCCTGCCACAAACTTTAACAGTCTATATGGTCAAAGAGAGAGCGCAGCGGGGCAGGGACCCATCAGAGGAAGACAAGCCACAGAAGGGTGTGGGTCCACTTCTCAGGAATGAGTTCCCAACTCCTCTTGCCTTTTCTTCATTCAGCACACACCAACAGCGTGCTAGCCATCACATCATGGGTGCCACCCACTTCGGTGGCCACCTGGGGAACGACTCTCATTGCCTTCTGCCTGGACTGTGCGCTCCTAACTCATCTCCAGCTCTGTCCTCCTCCCCCTCCCCACTTCCCGAAACAATCACTCCAACCCTCTGTGCTGAGGGATCCCCCCACTTTTAGGGGACAATGGGACCTGGTCCTCCTGTGACCAGCCCTCAGGTAGGGGAGATGTGCATGAGATCTGCTCGGCCCTGGGGTCCAAGGGGCGGCCACAATGCAGAGAGCACCCAGAACCCACAAATGCAGACACTGGCCAAGCCAGTTGAGAGCAGAAAGGGGCAGTGCCCAGCAATTATCAAACATTTTTTTTGATAATTAATTAATAATTAATAATTTTTGTTGTAGCAAAAATTAATTGCTACAACAATTATCCCTGACCACCAGGAAGCAACACTGGTCTCCTGCAGTGTCTTGCAGGCCATTTGTGACCTTGACCCAATCATCCAAGTTCACTGAGAGCCCCCTGTGTGAGGCAGTCTGAGTGTTCTGCACATCCCATCCTCACTCAGGGCACTACTAATACACCTGTTTCCTCAGCACAAGTTATGTGCTGTAAGTCATGGTGAAAATTACTCAGGTATCTGGCAGGTGGCAGCTATTACTTCAGTGATTCTAACAAAAAATTTAAAATATTTTTTTAAATTGAAGATGTCTCTAACATTCCAGGAATTCTCATAACTTCCTCAGCAGCACATTCCATAATATGCATCTTAAAATCCGTGACACTTCATATTCTCTGAAAGTGATAATGTTCCTCCTACTCAGACCCTTAAGGGAAAACTGTGGGCCGAAAGGCCGCTTGCCAGAAAAACCGACCTTCACCAGTTCTGAGCCCGACTGCCTCCCACACAGAAAGCTTCCCGAAAAGCCACCCTTTGCAAGGCACCCACATCTTGAATCTCTCGGCTCATGGACAGGTTTAAGTATTTTGATGGAGGAGAAGTGGCCGCAAGATGAGAACCGAGGGTCCCTTCCCGCAGGACAGTTACAGCCAGGTCGCCAGGCTGGGTGACAGGCGAGGAAGGGGAATAAAAGGTCTTCGCTGCTGTTTCCAAGGCAAACTGCTCCCCAAGGAGAGTCTAAGATGACTGCCTTTCCAACTCTTTACGCGGTTCGGGGGAGAAGGGGGCGCAGAGACTGGAATGAGGGTCCCTGGAACTCCCGGGACAGAGGCGCCGTGGTCAACACGCAAAAAGGAAATGAATTCGGCCAGGGTGTGGTGCCTTTAAGAGGCGCTTCTCAATTTTTCTGTAACTGCGTTTTCACAGTCACGCACCTACGAGGCGCAGGAGCCAGACTCGGGCCCAGAGGCCCCGGCACCGGCCGGGCAGGAAGCCAGGGGCGGCGCGGCCCCGTCCTTCTACTCCACCTTTCGGGCAGGCGGCGGTCCAGGGCCGGACTCACCGGTCGCGGTAGGCGACCCCTCGGCCAGCCCCAGCTCCGCGGAGCACACGCCCGTCCCCTGGGTCTCCGCGGACGTGGGCGGGGAGGACCCGCGCCCCGGAACTGGGAGGTCCGCTCCGGGGGCGGGGCAGGGGCGGGGCTCTGCCCTGGGGGCGTGGTAATCCCCGCCCGGGGTGGGCGTGGCGCTCTGCCCGGGAGCGCGGGCTCCGCCCCTGGGGTGGGCGTGCTGCTCGGTCCTGGGGGCGAGGGGCGGGCAATTCCTCCCCCCCACTCCCCCGCCCCCCGGAGGTGGGCGTGGAGTTCTGTCCTGAGGAGCGGGCCGCGCCCCCGGGGTGAGCGTGCACCTGCCCCCCCCCTCCGTGGTGGGGGCGGAGTCTTCCCCAGGGTGTGTGCGCTTGGAGTTCTGTATTGGGGGACAGGACCTCTTCCCTGGATTCGGGGCGCTGGAAGCAGGGCCGGTGGCAGATGGACAGGAGTAAAGGGCAAAAAGCGAGGTGGAAAAAAGATTCTGGAATTGAGAAAGCAAAACACTCTTTTATTTATTTACTGTCTCATAAGGACAGTTACAGAGAAAAGTCTTGAGCTCCAAATGGGACAGTCTTTGAGTGGTTCAGGCCTTGACTCAGGCTAATGCAGTAATAATGGGGGAAAGGAAACAGATTGTCAAGAAATTCCTATGAAGTTTTTATTTGTTTTTTCAGTGCTGGAATTCAACCCACTGCCTCAGGCATGCTAGGTAAATGCTCTCACACTGAGATATGCTCCCAGACCCCTTTTTAAAGGATGGGCTATTTTACTTTATATGATTTTAATATTATTTTTATTGTAAGCAAATTTTGCTTTAAAATATTAGTATAAAGGGGGCTGGGGATATAGCTCAATTGGTAGAGTGCTTGCCTTGCATGCACAAGGCCCTGGTTTCAGTCCCCAGGACCAAAACAAAACAAAACAGTGTAAAGCTGAGTGATAGTCCCAGCTACTGGGAGACTGAGCAGAAAATTATTACTTGAGCCCAGGATTTGGAGGCCATCCTGAGTAATATAGGTATCAGTTTCCCTATAAAAAAGTGTATTGATTTTTTTATTTGAAAGAATAAAGGCAATAAAGTAATAGGCTATTCAAAGATAATTACATTCTGTTGTTATTTCTCCAAGGCGAACAGGGAGCCAGCATTTTCGAGTTAGTAAGCAAGGAAGTTTGGAAAATGCTGAGCAGGTGTTCAGGAAACGGCCAGGATGGCAGTTCCAGTACCCTAATGGAGGGCCCTGAGAGGATTTATCTGGCATAGGGAGCCAGGCCCAGTCCCTGAACACAATATAGGTGGCCTCCATGGTGTCACCTACTTAAGGGCTAGGGCAGGTAAAGAGAGGAAAGCCTGGGGGTCTCAGATATCTAGGGTCAAGAGGACCCCTAGAGGCAGAGAGAGGGAGGCTTGAGGACATGGGTTTGCAGGACAAGGTTTCCAAGTTCCTGTATCTGCTTCTTTGGGAAAATAGCATCCCTACCACAGGATGCCTCTTGCTTTAGGATCAGGCTCACTCCTTGGTAGCTTCCAGAATCCCCTGTTCCCCCTTTGTAGATTGGCTGTGCTTGGAAGGGCAGCCTAGCCTCAATCTTTATCTCACCTGGTAGAATGAATGCCTCCCATCTGAGATGCTTCTTCTGAGATCAAGGGACTATGCAGTTGAGAAACTATATGGTTCACAGCTTGGCTCTCATTTATAATTATTGCTTTTTGGTTTTTTGTTTTGTTTTCTTTTTGTTTTTAAGTTGTTAATGGATCTTTATTTATTTATATGCAGTACTGAGAATCCAATCCAGTGCCTCACACATGCTAAGCAAGCAATCTACCACTGAGCCACAACCTCAGCCCTATAGCTATTGCTTATTGAGAAGATTCTATATGCAAGTCAGTTTGTAAGTTCTTTACATGTATTGACTCATTATTATCTGTGGGAATGCAAGCAAGTCACAATATCTTTGAGTGTATTCATTAAATTGAACATCTGTTTCATGGTATTTTAGACATAAAACCATACTTCTAAAACTTTTTTTTTTTGTACCAGAGATTAAATTCAGGAGCACTTGACCACTGAGCCACATCCTCAGTCCTATTTTGTATTTTTTAAAATTATTGTTAAAGACAGGGTTTCACTGAGTTGCTTAGCACCTCACTTTTGCTGAGACTGGCTTTGAACTCATGATCCTCCTGTCTCAACCTCCTGAGCTGCTGGGATTACAGGTATGCGCCACCTCGCCCAGCTTACACGTCTAAGCTTTAATGAGCATATGAATCACCTGGAAACCTGTTTAAACACATATTCTGGTTCAGTCTATAGCAGGGCTCAAGATTTGGTCTTTTCAACAAGTTCCTAGGGACTGATGCTGCTGGTCCAAGGACCACACTTCATGCTTGACATGCCAGGGCCTAAAGAACAGTACTTAGAAGCTGAAATAATGACTAAATGTGAGAGTAGTTAGGGAACACACATAACAAGTAAAGTGCTTAGAAACAAGCTGTGTAAATCTCCCCAGCTTGTAGGATTCACTATTTAAAAGAATCAGGGTGGGTGTTAAAACCCAGATTCTGGAGTCCAGCGGACATGGTGTGAATCTTGAAAGCCTTGTGATCTTCAAATGACTTAAAAATTCATGGGCGATATCATCTTCGTGTTTGTGAGGGTATGCAATGTTTTCTGTGGCTATGTAAAGCTATTAGCAGTGTCTTGTATGCAGTAGTGCTCAATAGGCGTAGGTGGTTTCAGCAGAATTTTTTCAGTTTAATGTCTTGAAAACTCAAAGGATACTGAAGGTGGAAAGGGAGAGGAGAGTGTGGGCGCCCCCACATGGTAAATGCACAAACTGCAAGCACCATGCAGGTCCGGTCTCTAGGCCTTCCTAGTGAGGGCAGATAGGGAGTAAAGATGCTTTTCCCCCACCAGTTCTGTGGCTTCGGGAAAGTTCCCTTCGTGGTGGTACAAGAAGTTTGGACCCTCAGATGATCTCTGAAGCTCCCACAGTCTGTAAATAATGCAGCATCCCGGCCCTGGGCTTCCTTTTCCTTAGCAGGATTCAGTTTTCATTCTGTTTTGTTTCAGCTATTGAAAGTCCTAGTAGCTTGTCTCCTGTAACCCCACTGAACTCTCACAGAGTCTATACCTCTACTTCCTGGAAGGAAGGTATTGAACAGTCCTCCAGCCCTGTCATTGGAGAACTGTGCCAACTGGTAGATTTTAGGCTGCAGGACAATCCTGGAGCCAAGAGCAGCTTCAGGGGCTTTGACGACTGCCCTGGGAAGGTTTGATTGCTTGGCTCCATAACTAAACATCAAGATTTATTCTGGGCCCAGCTTGTCTAGGGCACCATAGACAAACTTGCAGTGTTCGGGATGACAGACATAACCTTGCAGCCCTGGAGGACACCAGAGCCTCAGAGCAGGGGTTCTTAACCAGGGGAATATGAAGAAACTTCCGAATTCACATGACCCTAAGATGCTGAGTGGTGTGCAAAATCGCAAGCTATGTTTACCTTTTGGGGGAACGTGAACATAGTTTTTGAACATTTACAGAGAAGTCTGTGATCCCCCCACACATTAAAGACAAAAGAAAGCACTGCCCCAAATTGCAGAAATGACTGACCCTGAATATTTTGTCCTGGGAATCCTGCAGCAGGCCTCCTACTCTTCCAGGTTGTAACCTGCCACCCTCCCAAACCTGTCAGCGCAGCTGGGGAGTGAGGGAGAATGCCAAGGTCCTTGGGTAGTTTTCAGAAATCACTTGAACTAAGCCTCAGGGTGCTTCCTCTTCAGCGTGGCAACCGCAGACCCAAAAATGTCCCCCCAGCTTCCTTTGAGGGGATTCCTTTTCAGGGCCTATGGGCTTTCTTCAACAGCTTCTCATTGATGTCAAATTTCTCTTATTTTTCAGGGCATTTAGAACAAGGATGGTGACAAACATGGGCCAAATGATGGAATTCTGTTGGGGCCTCAAATTAAATGTGGCTAAGTGATATGCAGCCTGCTCTCTCAGGTCGTTTATGGAAGGTTCTGACTAGCAACAACTGTGACACTCAGAGTGCAGTTTCCAGGCGACCTCTCTGAGGGACAAGGCTCACTGGTTATATAATTTCTGAAATATCAAGCTGAGCGCAGTGGCACATGCCTGCATCCCAGTGGCTCCAGAGACAGAGGCAGGAACATCACAAGTTCAAAGCCAGCCTCAGCCAAGGCCAGGCACTAAGCAACTCAGTGAGACCCTGTCTCTAAATAAAATACAAAATAGGGGTGTGGCTTGGTGATCAAGTGCCCCTGAGTCCAATCCCAGTTCTCAAAAATAATAATAATAATAATAATAATAATTTCTAAAATTTCTGTTAGCATCATAAAATCTAACAGGAAAGGTTGTACTTTTCACCAATATCTAGACTCTAGAAGGAGCACATTCAAATCTCAGGCTCTGAGGTTTCCTCTGTGCCCACAGAGTGTGTGGGACCCACAGGGAGAGGCAAGTCACTTTCCTGTGACTTCTTAGGCATGGACACTACGTCTAATCCAGTGTGACTCTGGAGAATATATCTTTGTCATCTCCTGACCATATCCACAGCATGGCAGGTACCAAAAGGAAATGTGATATGTGCCCCCTTGTGCCATAACAGATTTGGCAAGGACAAGTTTATGTCATTTACTGTCATAGATGGATTAGGCTCCAAGACGCCTTACAGAATTCCAGGGCAAAACATTTATAGACAAGGAGGCTGAGGTGCCCAAAGCCACACAGCTGGCCTGTGGCCACACATGGACTAGAAAGCAGCTTTCAGAATTCCCAGTTTGGGGCCCTCACCAATGCTTCCCTTGCCCTGCTCCTGAGGAGGCCATAGCACACAGACGGGAATGGATACAGAAACTGTCCTGAGTGTAGTGCCACAAGGACCCAGAGATTCACTCATTAGGAACCCACAGCCATTTTAAATAGTCAAAAAGCCCCGAAGAAACCATCCATTTAGTAACTATCGCAAGACCATCCACTAATGCCTTGCCTTCGGCGAGAACTCAGCTCAGTGACTGGCCCTCTGGTACCTGTTAGCAGAGATGAACAGTTACAGTTTTTGTTCTTTTGAAAATTGAGGTGTGGGCTGGGGATATAGCTCAGTTGGTAGAGTGCTTTCCTTGCACGCACAAGGCCTTGGGTTCAATCCCCAGCACCACAAAAAAAAAAAAAGAAATTTGAGGTGCAATTCACGCATAGTGGTTTCTGATGGGTGAAAAATGAGGTAAACCCAAAAGATTACGTAGCTAGAACTGTTCAAGACATGGGGACCATGGTGGTGGTGTGCCCAGCAAGGGGATCTCTGTGATGAGACTGGAGACCACTGTAAGGAAATCTCCAAGGCAAGGTACACAGATTGCATTTGAGGATGTCATAAAGATGGGGACGAGGGGCTGACGTCCTGAAAGTGTTTCCTGCCATCCCACTGCAGCCACATCTGTGAATTCTTTGACTAATACAGTACTCCTTGATTGGAAGTCATGGTACACGGCACAACCGACTGCTGTGCTCAACAGAGTCCTGGTCCTCAGCCCATGTGGACTGTCTCTGTCTTTCCTCACCCATCTGTCTTCCATCCCAGACAGACAGCTTCAGATAATTAAGTACCCTAGAAATGACAGATGTTTTCCAATGAGAGGTGTTTTCCAATTTTTTTTTTTTTTTATTATTGAGTTCCAAAGCCAAAGGACAGAGGAGAGAAGCTCAATCTCAAAATGTTTACATCTCTAATTATGGTTCATTTCACTTGAGCAAATTCATCTTCTAGACCAGGCAGCAGAGGAAACTAGTAACACAGCCTGCAAGCATGGCCCCCAGTGCAGAGCTGGCCCAGTTAACTCCTGATGCTCAGAGATTCACTGACCAGGAAGCACTGACTTCCCAGTTGACCTGAGCTGGCTGGAACTTCTGTTGTGCCCAGTTACAGACTCTTAGGAATCCAGTGGTTTGTAGGTGAGGGTCTCATCTACCACCTGCCTCCTGCACCTACCTGAAGACCTCCTCACCTGGGTCTCTTCACCAGCCCAGGGTGCCCACAGGCGTTTCATGATCCATCCACGTTCTTGTTGACAGAGGGCACAGCTGTGCTGTCACTGCTCTGGAAAACTAAACCCTCAGTCCTGGGGTGCCAGCCAAGGGATGAGGTAGCAAGGCGCAGGCCAGGGGAACTGGAAGATTAGGCTTCTAATGTCCTCTTGGCTTTGCACTTGGTTCCCTCTCATTTTCAAATCAATAGCCTCTTTGCAAATGCCCCTGCCAAGGCCATCAGAGAAACAGAAGTCACATGGGAGCCAGAGCTTACAGGGTGGCCTTGGGCCCCTGGAGGCTAAGGGAGAGAAGCCTCAGTAACTGGATGAGAGTGACACCCGGAGGGGCAGGCGGATCAGAGGGACAGGTGCCTAAAGAGAGCGCTTCCCAAGCTGCACCTGGATGCTCTTGAGGCTGGTCCTTGTTATGGGACAAGACACATTTGCATGACTGTGGAATGATGGCGTTTCAGGGGCAATCTGAAGAGTCATTCCCAATGTCACAATATGATTCAAAAACAAAATAAAACAAAAAAACCCTCAGAACATCCAATGTCACTCCAAATGGTTGTGTTTCATAAACTTAGTGCACAAGTCAGTGCTATAGTTGGCACCTTGAATGACCCCCTAAAGGTGTGGGTGTTAAAAAAGTCTTGGTCCCCATGGTGGTGCCACTGGGGGACAGTGGGACCTCAGGAGGGGAGCCCTAGGGAGGTCCATGGGAGCCTTGGCTTCTTCCTGTCCCCTTGGTGTCCTGGAGATGAAATGAGCTGTTTGCTCCTCCACGTGCTCCCCGCCATTGCCAACCAGAGGCCCGAAGCCATGGGTCTGCCCAGTCTTAGACTGGAACTCCAAAACTGTGAGCCAAAAGAAACCCCTACTCTTGATGTTAAAGATCTCAAGCATTTTGTCCTAGTGACGAAAAGTTGACACAGTCAGCACATCAAGTCTGGGGGTCTGGGGTGGGGGTTCATCCTAATAGATCCCTGCTCTGTTTGGTGCATAATTACAGCTAACGAGCTATGGCTTATCCCTCTTAAGGGCATCCAAATGTCAGGATTAATGCTCTATAACTGGAAAATGACTTACCCTGGGCTTAAAAAGATTCTATCACAGCCAGAGTGTGACCAGAGGTGACATGAGGGGTTTCTTCCATAGAAACACACTTGTGGGCTGCTTTATCGCCCCTCTAGAAAGCCTTTCATCCTAATGATGCTATTTTTACAATCCTCACTCTCCTCTCCCCCCAGCCATGTCCCAACTCTCTGGAGGTGGCTTCTTTTATACTGTCCCCATTGGTGGCAGTTCCCCTACCCTAGGATGTATTTGGTTTGGGGAAGCAGGCAGTCTGGGGAGCCAAGAGACTGTGGTATCCTATTTGGGTGGGTACCACTTATAACTGGATGAGGAACGAGGTGATCTTCTGCTATCCTGTGGAATTTTGTTTTGAAAGTCATTGCTGAAGGGAAGTTGCCCAATTGTTTAAGAAAAGATCTAATCATAAAAATCATGTGCTTTCTGCCACCAAGGTAGCTTTTGGCTTTGAATCTAGCTTATTTAAATTTTTTCCCCTACATCCCCAGTCCTTTTATTATTTTGAAATAGGGTCTCCTTAAGTTGCTGAGGCTGGCCTCCAACTTGTCATCCTCCTGCTTCAGCCTGGGATTACAGGTGTGTGCCACTGCACTCAGCTTCAATCTACCCAGTTACTTATACTCAGGTTATCTGGTACTCATCCTTGGGGTAGAAGCTCACTGGATAGGCCTGATGATTGCACAGCAAGTTTAAGAGCTTACGGTGTCACATAGAAGAATGGTTGTTGCTAGGCACAGTGGTGCATGCCTGTAATCCCAGTGGCTTGGGAGGCTGAGGCAGGAGGATTGCAAGAAGTTCAAAACCAGCCTCAGCAACTTAGTGAGGCCCTAAGCAACTTAATGAGACCCTAAGCAACTTAATGAGACCCTGTCTCTAAATATTAAAAAAGAGCTGGGGGGAAGTGGCTCAGTGGTTAAGCACCCTGGGTTTCAATCCCTGATACAAAAAGAACCATTATAAGTGGATTTCTGGTTGTCATTGTTGTTTTGTTTTTGTTTCTTACCTGCTGGAAAATATTTAGGATGCTATGAAAAGTTAAATGATTCCAACTGCCCAGGAGATTTGGCAAAAGGCAGGTGAGATGTAGGACCATTCTGAAGGCAACCATCTGCGTGGCCATCCCATCCCTAGGGGGCTGAATCGGGTGGCCTGGGAACCTTTCTCCCTCCCCACATACTGCCAAAGGAGGAGAGGCCACCTGGACAGAGCCGGCAATGCTTCAGTCTCCTCTCAGCGTGCATCGTTTGCCCTCTTGGGGCCTGTTTGGATCATACCCCCGAGGAAGAGCAGCAGATGGCAGGAGCTCTCAGGGCTCCCCTCTAAGACACAGCTTAGTCCAGGAGGATGGTGCTAGGGAGAGCACCTACTCTCCCAGGGTCTGGTGGGGCTCTAACAGCGCCCCTATGACCAGGGTGACAACTGTTGTCTCCTAAGAAGGTGAAGACAGAGGAGCTTGGGTTAGCAGTTGATCCAGCCCTGCCCTAGGACACTGCAGCCAGACCGCCAGTTAGTACCAGGGTTGGGACAGCACCCTTCGCCCCTGCGGCCACCCACAGAGGTGGGACGGCCAACCCAGATGCAGGACACTGGGTGGAAGCAGCTGGGAGTGGATCACCTGAGGCCTTTGTGCTCCCCTGAAAAAGAAAACAGCATGGGCCCTCCCATAAAGAGCCCTGAGGGGGAGAGGGCAAGAGGGATACAGATAAATTTATTAGTTAAATACTGATTTTACAGCCATTCCACCTTAAGACAATGTTATCAGGTTGGTGGGTCAGGAGGGAATGGAGGGGCAGCCTTCAGGGAGGAAAAGTGTTAAATGATGATTAAAACAGAATCTTGGTTCAAAGGTACTCTGCTACAGCCAGGAGGGCTGGGGTGGGGCTGGGAGTCTGGGGTGGACGGAGTGAGGCCACAGTCAGCGGCGGCTCTGCGGATACAGAGGACAGGGAGGAAGTCTTTGGGAGCCCAGCGTGGAGGGAGGAGGCCAATCCAGAACAGCTGGGAGCTGCATGTCCCCTCAAGGCCCACCCTCAGTGTCTTCTTATAGCCATCGTCTTTCTTTCGGCCAGTTTTGTTGTTTGGTTTGTGTTGATCTTGCAAACTCTCTAGCTTCTCATCTCCCAGACAGAAGGTTCTTGCCAGGGAAAGAATGCAGGTCCAGGTGCTGGTGACTTGGCCAGGCCACCGTCCACAGGCTCAGAGAGCAAGCAAGCTGGAGTCCCGAGCAGGGCGTGCCCCCCAGGTGCACTCCCTGGAGGACCTCGAGGATGAGTGTTCGCCAGTTAGTTTAGCAGCAGGACCTCTGTCCCTTCTCAGTACCCCTCTGCGTGGATGCGGTGAACGGAGGATGCTGGGGTCTGCCCTTCGGCTACACTACTGAGCTCTCGTTTTGACAAAGAAGAGGCATGATTGGGCTGAAGACAGAGCCGGATCGCTCAGGACAGAAGGGATTTCTATGCCACAGGCCCTGGTGGGAGAAGAGAAGGAGCAGAGCCCTCAGCAGGGAATGGACGGGGGACGGCGGCACTGCCCAACGGCTATCTGATGACGCCACGCGGTGCAGGGGCGCAGGTCTCTCTTCCATTTCCCGGGATGCGTTCAGTCACCTCTGCACAGCACCCAGTGCTACTGGACTCGGATCAGCCGTGGGGATGCAGGGATGTGCAGTGCCTCAAGGGGAGTGTTGGGCAAGGGCTGAGGCTGCCCGAAGGGGCCTGTCACATTCAATACACATCAAGCAGATGCCCTGTTCAGGCTACAGCGGGGGTCCCAGAGCCCTGCCCCATCAGCTGCCCGTAGAGCCCCAGTGCTGGGAACACAATGGTAAAGCCACCACCTTGGGCCACAGCAGTGGGAAGCAGGGGAGATGGACATCTTGTCTCTGTCAGGGGCGGGGCCAGGTGGGACAGGGAATGAGAAAGAAGTCGCCAACTCCATGGAGGAGACTTATTGTGCCTGCCGTGAAGGGTGGGCTGGTCTGTGTCAGAGCGCAGAGAGTGGGCTCCTTCCAGACCCCACCTGGAAAAGGCACCTGAGAAAATCCAACTCCCACTTCTCAGAACCAATTGTCGACTTCAAGTTTCTTCCCAGTTGCTCTGGAGTCCTTCCCAGGCAGAGGGCGGCCCCCAGGTCCCAGGTCCGTGCAGGAATTTGAGGAGGGAAGGAGGAGAGATTAGGCAGTGATTATGTCCCCGTGACTGTCAGCCAAGACCAGACTGTTCCAAGAGTCCTGCTTGGAGCTGGCCTGTGGTGACTGGCTGACAGGAGATGCGTAGCCTTGTGGGGAGAGCTTCAGGGCAGAGAGGACCGGGTGGATGGAGGGCCCGTGGCCAGACACGGCACTGACGGAGAACGTCTGCAAGGCAGAAAGCACCATGAGGCCAGTGGGATGTGCCTGAGGGCTCACGGGGACCAGAGTAGGGACTGGTAAAGGTAGGCTGGGACACACTGACCCCATCATGTCATCCAAGGAGAAACCTGGCATGAGCAGCATGTGCCTGTGACCCCAGTAACTCAGGAGGCTGAGAAAGGAGGACTGAGAGCGCGAGGCCAGCCGCGGGAACTTAGCAAGGCTCTAAGCAACTTGGTGAGGCCCGGTCTCAAAACAAGAAGGGCTGGGATGTGGCCCAGGGGAACAAGCACTGCTAAGTGGCATCTCCAGTACCAAAAAACCCAAAGAGGGACCTTGCGGAAACAGCACCCTGCCCGATGTCTGCACCCACCCTGCCTCTGCAGCTTCCCAGCCTGTGTCCAGCCAGCAGGGTCCTTCTTTCCCATCTGGGTGCCAGCATCTGGGCACCTTCTCCTTGTTTCCAAAGGCCATGGCACAGAGGGCCAGCTGTGTGTGCTACAGCTGTATCCAAATGCTGTGGCTTGATAAGCCATCCGAGGGCTCAGGGGCAGGGCTTTGGTAGCCCCGCAGGGGCTGCTCCTGCTGGCCGTCTGCAGGTCTGGGGGCAGCTCATGCTGCACCCAGGGTCTGGAGTCCACTCCCCCGTGCAGCCCTGCCGCCCCGCCCACAGGGTACCTGGGACATGGAGCTGCTGTGCCCATAGTGAGATGACAAGCCGGGCTCTGTCTTGATGGGGCGCATCTCCTCGCTGCTGGTGGTGGTGGTGCTGCTGGTGCTGCTGGAAGCACTGCTGGTGGGAGGAAGGCTCTCACTGCCGGAAGGACCTAGAACAGGGGGAGCCAGGAGGCACAGCTCAGAGGCAGGGAACTGGGAGAGTGGCCCTTTGAGAGAGCCGGACAGTCTCTGCTGATGGCTTCATTTACATTTGCCAGGGAGAGAAGCCAGGGTCCATATCAGTGGAGGGCACAGTTCTCAAAATGGAGCAGACGTGTCCTATTCCAAGGGGACTCTTCCAAATGACAAGCTCGTCCTCTCCCCCCACATCCCATACCCTTGAGGCCACATGTGTTTTAGAATTTAAGATCTGGATTTCAAAAAGTGCAAACATTGTATACTATAGAATGTCTCCACAGGCATCTGGGACAACAACCCACAATCAGATTCATTAACATCGCTACAGCAAAACGCGAACAGTTGTACTGATCAGGATAAATGGCCCTTGTGTGGGTTCAGAGTAGGTCCAACTGCCAAACCCGTCTTCCTGGGTCTGGAATTTGGAGAGGGGATTTTTATGGCTGAACTGAACGCTTGCTGTGCCCGTGTGGCTGCGTGCGAGGATGGGAGGTGATGCCGGGGCAGGGCTGCAGCTCCAGGCAGCAGGGAGGAGGGAGACACGGGGGACCACGGGTGTGAGGCAGGGGATTCAACAGGAAGTATCTCTGCCAGAAGGAGTGAGCCAATGGTGAATCTAGAAAGTAGAATTCCCATCATGTCCTCGGTGGTGTAAATGGCAATTTATCTGACTGTCATGCTGCAGAAGAGAAGAGAAGCTCCTCATCATATCAGCCAATTTATCTTCTCTGCAACTGCAGCACTGACCTGTCAGATCCTTAACTTGGTAGCCATGTGGCGTAGGGAATGCCTGCACAGGGGACATTAGTGACCCTCCTTACTAATCTAGGAATTAAGAGGCGGAATGTTATATTGAACGGACTATTAACCCTGGTGTGTGAAGACTTCGGCTTTAATTTCAGTTCTGCCCATGAATAGCTGTGGTGTAACTCTGGCTAAGTCAGTGCCCTCTCTGAGTCTATGTGCTCATTAGAAAGATGGCGTTAATAAACAGTTTCTCTGGGATCCCGAGTGGATCACTGAGACACTATTGACAAAAGAGCTTCCTGAAGTACAAAGCACCAGGTGACATAATGACACCTAGACATAGATCAATATGTAGAGAAAAAGACTAAGAGGATCCTGGTCCTTCTCAGGAAGCTAAAGGGATTGAGTTCTGGGCTGGCCATAGCACCAAAGACAAAGGAACCAAGCAACATGCTCCTCTCTGCCTCGGGCCCTCCACTGGTCCCACTGGCCATCGCAGTTGATGGCAATCAGACCCCAGCTAGAGTTGAGCCAGCTCCGAAAGCTCCCACTATGTACCATGGCAACTTTATTCATTGTGTGCTCAAGAGCCAAGGATGAGTGGGTCTATCACACCCCTTGGCAGCCCAGGCTGGCCCGGCCTGACCCAGGAGAGGCGCTCCTCACACCCCGGGGCTCCTGGCGCTTCACCCAGCAGAGCTCTGTGCCTTACCTGCTGCTGTCTTGGATTTATTCAGGTTCTTGGGCTTCCGTTTTCTGGTTTGAATCCCCTCTTTCCGCATCGCGAGAGGCCTGGGGACCTAGAGGGTCACAAGTCAATACATGTAGCTTCCCATTTGCACACCTTGCACTGCAGGAAGGTGACACCTAAGCAACCTTCTGCAAACCCAGGCTGAGCACCCAGGCCCCTGGGACTCCTCGGAGAAAGGAATCAAATCTACTTTCAAAAACACACTGAGGGCTGCAGCCTGGGGTAGAGTGCTTGCCTCGCTCGCAGGAAGTCCTGGATTTGATCCCCAGCATCAGAAAAAAAAAAATTTTAATTGGGTACCTGTTATATGGTGGGTATTTTACTAGACCCTGGAGAACTAGAAAATGACACAGTTCCTTCCCACCAGAAGTTCCATTTAGTGGGAAAGAGAGATGCGGAAAAACCACCGGACTCTGTTAGTGACGTGGGAAAACAGAGGAAACAGTATATTGTGTCCTGGGTTGGAGAAGAGAGGCATGAGGTTATCGAGGAGGGCTTCGCTGAGAACGTGACACCCAAGAGGCACTAGGGCAGGTGTTTTAGGCAGCAGGAATGGAATGTCCAAAAGCCCTGGTCATCCCACCAGGGCACTGCAGAAATAGGAAGGGGTGCTAGTAATAATGACACTGAGAAAACAGACAGACTGGGGTAGCGCTAGGAGTGGAGACACGGGCACCCGTCACACTAGCTCTGCCCTGCAGTCCTGCTGGAGCTGGTGATGGACTGCACGGGTGGAGGGGAGTGCACGGGTGACACCAGAGAGACGATGCTATGGCCAGGTCCTCCGAGAACTGTGCGAGGACAGCACCAGGTGCACCTGGTGCCGGAGCAAGCCGCGACTGGTAGAGTCACACCCTTGAGCCCTCACAGGGGCCTAAGCAAGTGTTCTGGGCTAACAAAGGCCAAAGGGCACCTTTCCAGTATCTTTAGATCCTGTGCCTTCCCCACATCTGCTCTCTCTGAAGCCGGGACCAATCTGCTAGCCCTGGTCTACTCTATGCTCATCTGCCACGTAGAACTAATAAAGGCCACACCTGCAGACGTGGAAAGAAAAGCAAGTACCACTGCAAAGACACGAACATGGACGGGCTATGAGAGAGAGACAACAACCTATGTGACCTAGGTCACAGCAAGCAGGTGTCGTCCCCCCAGTCACCTCCTGGGCCTCCACAGCCACCGGCCCCTTCTGCCATCTCTATCTGCAAGGTCATAGATGGTCCCCCAGCCTCTATAGTATGGAGTCATGCTATACATAATACTTGCAGTGTGTGTTTTCATTTTACAGATCAAGATACATAGCTTTATTATCTTTACATTTCTACCCAATATTGCACATTATGGGGTGTCCCATAATTTATTCAATCATTCTTTATGGGGCTCTGAAGTTTTTAAGCTAGTTTTTGCCACTATAAAGAAGACAGCAATGAATGGTTCAAATATTATCATGTAGTGGTTCTTTGATTTTTTATAAGCTGTTTTCCCAACAGTGGAGCAGCTATGTGCAAAGGTTCGTGTGTTTTTAACCTGAACCAGTGTTGCTAGGTTAGCTTCCTAAAGAACAGGTGCAGCAGTTCACATGTGAATCAACAATACACAAGCGTGCCTGTTCCCCAGATTCACACCAGCAGTAGCTTTTACCATCCATTGTTGCCAAAAGTCTCAGGGTGCCTTAGTTTACACTGCCTGGCTCCCAGTGGGCCGGGCATGTGTGCATGTTCCATGGCTGTCTGACTGGTTCCTGTGAGTTTTCTGTGCCTTTGTCCGTTTGGTACAGTAGGGGGAAGACCAACTGTACAGGCTATAGGCTCTGTTTTTTATTTTGTTTTGTTTTAGTTTACCTTTGAACAAGAAAGATCTGTATGTAGATCATGTAAAAGGTACAGAGTGTACCGTGAAAATAATGTTCTCCTAACCCTGGTTCTAAACCCGTTTCTTCTTCTTCCCCTCCCCTTTTCCACCTGCTCTCCTCCCTTTCTCCTCCCTTCCTCCCTCTTTACCCTGCTTCTTCCTCCTTCTGTGGTGCTGCAGATGGAACCCAGGGCCCTGCGCATACTAAGAAATGTTCTAACACTGTGCTCCACTTCACTACCCTGTTACCCATTTCTTTTCTTGGAGTATCCCATGACGCAATTTATTTATTTTACTTTCTTCCTTTTTCTTTTCTTTGATTTTTTTGCTTTCAGTACTGGGGATTGAACCCCGGAGTGCTTTACCACTGAACTACATCCCCAATCCTTTTTTAGTTTTGAGACAGGGTCTCACTAGATTGCCCAGACTGGTCTTGAATTTTCCATCCTCCTGCCTCAGCCTCCAGAGTCACCAATTTCTTATGTATTTTTCCAGAAGTACTGTACACATTATAAGCACCTACATATAAATGATGTTTTCCTCTTCATTTATAAAAATGGTGCCATACCATGTACAGTGCTCTTCACCCTGCCTTAAAAATCAAAACAACAATAAAATGCAACGTTATATAATGGAAATTGTCCCAAATCAGAACATAAGGAGCTTCACAGGAACTTTTTATGTTGAGGAAATATTACGTGCATATCAGTTTTTACTTTCTTTAGGCATCATTTTCCATACACTAATATTAAATGTTTAACAATTAAATACTTAAGAGTTTTAAAAACTTGCTTAAGGAATTCTTCTTCCATGCCCAATGTTACATAATACCTCCTCTTACATTTCTTTAGTTTTATTATCTGGCATTTTTGTTGTATTTATTTTATTTTTCTAGTATTTTCACTACAATATTTTGTTGTTCAGTATTTTCATTTTCTTACAAAGATGTTCTACATTTAGTGTCTTTAAATCACCTAAATTTATTTTTGTTTAAAGCACAAGTGGAGGTCATGTTTTACTTTTGTTTTCCAAATTAATAGTCAATCCCCCCCATTCCACCTGGCCTGTATCGGGGACTCAACCCAGGGCTTGTGCAGGTGAGGCAAGCGCTCTACCACAGTGGAACAGCCCAACCCCAAACACTTGTTTTATTGTGTTTTCTCCAGGGACTGGGGATTGAACTCAAAGGCAATCTGCCACTGAGCAACATCCCTAGCCTGTTTTATTTTATTTTGAGACAGTCTCACTACACTTCCCAGGCTGAGCTCCAATTTGCCAGCCTCCCGCCTCAGCCTCCTCAGTAACTGGGATTACAGGCGTGGGCCTCCACACTCAGCCCCAAACACTTATCCTTACACAAGCTGACATTTTATCCACTAAGCAGAAACATCACCTTTGTTTCCTGCTACTATATATAGTCTCATCTGTAAAATGGGAATTAAAATGTGAAAACTGAATGAGACCAGCACAGTGGCGAATCTTCCCAATGTAAGTCTTTTTTTTTTTTTTTTTTAATTTAAGAACGAAAAACAAAAACTAAAAACAAAAAAGTCTAGTCTGAAGGAAAGAAGAGTGAAACTTTAGTGATGGGAATGAAAGACCCTGGACACCTCCTGGTCCTTCAAGAGTCCCTGCAAGATGGCAGCGTTGGGCGGGGCATGTTGGTAAGTGGACAGGGCACAGCAGGAGATGGGTGGGGCATGGGTGGAGCATAGCAGGAGAGGGTGGGGCATGGGCGGGGCATAACAGGAGTGGGTGGGGCGTGGGTGAGGCAGGCTCAGAGTCCACTCACCCCGTGGAGCTTCATGTAGAGACCACAGGCGTTGCACACCGGCTCACCCTCAGCATTGCGGCGCCACAACGTGGTGGTCGTGGTCTGGCAGTTGGCACAGGAGAGGCCCACTCGGCGGGAGGCGGACTGCAAACCGAAAGCAAACGTTTTGTGTCCAAGTGGAAGGCAGAGGCTGCTGCTTGTCTTCCTAAGTGGTGGCAGGAGGAGGCCACTACGGCCCTGGGTGCCATCTCAGACTAGTTGGTTCCGTTCATAGCCGCTGCAAGACCTCTGCAGTGCCAGCAAAGTGCAGTGCAGCCTGAGGCCTGGGGTCTAGTCCTATCATTTGACATCATCCAAAAACCGGGCCCTGCAGGCAGAGAAGCTTCTTCCCAAAGTAGAATTAATGTTTGCTTCCAGGTCTGGGAAGGGCAGTGGAAGAACTTGATGGACTTCAAAAGGGGCACTCAGGGTTTATCCCCTGTTCCTCCCTCCCCAACATACAGAAAAGCCAGTCGGAACAAACACCAGAGCCTCAGCCTTCCTAGGCTCTGGGTTTTATTAACTGATCCACTGAAAACAAGGAAGCAGGCTCTGGGTTGAACCCAGGGGCTGGGTAGGAGGCCCTCAAGACAACAGGTCAGTGGAGACTCCAAGTCTGAGTGGGTGGGCCGTCCTGCACACGGCTTCACTTTCCAATTCCACACAGTGCTGGTTGCACTAGATGGTTTGGTGCATTCTTGGAACTTGAGCTAACTCTAAAGTTGTGGAGTTACCTGATGCTCCCATCTCCCCACCCACCTAACCCCCTCAACCCACACCCTTGAGTTCCAAAATTCAAAACCAGAGAGTCCCCCGCCCCCCATGAGAGGCTTGGAGCCAGATGCCAAGGAGGGGCGAGGTGGCTTCCCCAGGCTGGTGGAGGGACTGTTGGCACTTGCTTACCAGCCGGCGCTGAGGCTTAATGAGGGGCCGGTTGATGCCGTTCATCTTGTGGTAGAGGCCACAGGCGTTACACAGGTAGTGCCCGGTCCCGTCCCGCCTCCAGAGTGGGGTGGACATGGCCCCACAGTTGACACACTCTCTGCCTTCTGAGAAGTCATCAAACATGTCTACTGGGTGGGGAAACAGGAGAGAGCACACAGGATCACAGCCTTGGTCATGTCCAGCAGACTTCCATCCCAGAGTCTAGAGCCCAGAAAGACGCCTTTTCCTTGAAAGGAGAGGAAGACCAGCTGGCTGCCCTCCTCCTCCTCACTCTGACCTTCACCTGGGGTAGTGGGTCCCGGGCTGCTTGGGAAGTGGGCGCTTTTACTCCCAGCCCTCCCAGACCTGGCAGGGCGTTCTTGAAAAAGCCAAAGCCCAGCTGCCAAGGCTGGGAGGGGCACATCCAGACCTCAGCCCAGCTCACTCTCCCTCTGAGTCTTCAACCCAGGGGCTCATCTAACCAGGACTGCTCAAAATTCTCTCCCTTTTTTCCTTTAAACTTAAGATTGTTTTTTCCCTTCGAATAAAAATATAGTAAATATTTACATTAGGAGAATCACAAAGTACCAAAATTTGTAAAGATAATGCAGTGTTACAATCATTTTGCTTTATTATATCCTGTGCAAGGTTTTATAGGAGGCATATGTTTTTGAGTAACTGAGTTCAGGCTACTTTGAATCTTTTTCCTACATTAGAAATTCTTTATAAACTCCTTTTATCACAGTGTAATAGTCCATCATATATATATGCTCTCTTTTAACTACTATCATTCAATAATTAATCTTTGTCCAGTGGCCAATTTTTGTGTTGTAAATATTGCTCATTTTCTACATAAATCTGTACATTCCTGGTTATTCCTTAGGATACTCTCCTAGAAGGAGAATCCCCCACTCGCTGCTGCCCTTTATTTTATGCAGTACTATATCTCAGTACTTGCATTTTCTTTTTAAGACAGGGTCTCACTAAGTTGCCCAAGCTGGCCTCTAACTTGTGATCTTCCTGCCTCAGCCTCCCAAGTCACTGTAATTTCAGGTGTGCATCACTATGCCCAGCTACTAGTACAATTTCTAGGTCAAATGGAATTGATTTCTACTTGAGTTCTTGAAATTTTCAAATTCCTCTGCAGGAAAGACTTTATTTTCTCATTTTTCCCTACTTTAAGACATCTGCATGATCTTCTGTGTCCTTGAAATCTTTCCTTATTTACTGGTACGTAAAATAAAGGTGCTTATTCCCAGCAATAGCACCTCAGAGCAAGTCAGATGGGCTCAGAAGGCTGCCATCATCTGTCACTTCCCTTTCTCTTCCAGTTCTACAGAATTTCACAGGTGACAAATTCCTCATAAGGCCCTTCTCCTTGCCTGGGTGAAAGAGGCTAGGCCAATGTTCTCATTCCTTCCATTCTATAGAAAGCCCGACTCAGAACTTGCAGAAGTCCCACTGACTTCATGCTATTCTGATTTTCTGTCCCTAAACACAGCCACCTTGGTCTTCAGGTCTTTCTTGTCCTGCTGCCAGAGGCAAGGTGGATTCTCCAGTGAAAAGGGAAACTTCTTTGGGAGGTGGGATGCCAGGTGAAATCTCTCCCCACTTCAGGCCCAGCCTGGTCGAAGGCTGCACATTTTACTAACTCTGTGGCCCCGCTACCATCTCTAAGGGAATGTGACTGGAGGAGAAGGAGGGGCCCTCCCCCCAACTCTGGGTACACAAACAGTCATTTGCACCTGCAAACAGGTAGCTGTGTCCCCACCAAGTAAACACTGTGCAGGTGCGAGGGGCTATTTGCTCAGGCCAGGGCGCTAACACAGCAGTCACACGAGAGGCTATTTTTACACCTGGGTCACACTCAGGGCCCTCCACCAAGGTCACCTGCGATCCGAGGTGACTCCTGTCCATGGCTTGCCCCCACCTGGACCAACGCTATCATTGCCTTTGGCCTGTCAGGACTGCTCTATCCAGACTCAGGCCCCCTATGAGGGAAATAGAAGGCCCAGGGGTTCACAGACCAATCTTCGACCAAGACAGGAGGGACACCAATGGGCCATACCAGCGTTCTGCTGGCAATAAACACTAGATGGCACTACAGTCTCAAAATTGGACCAGGACTCGGCAGTCCACCTTAAACCCTGCCTGAGGCCTTTTCAGCCCTAACCTAGTGCAGCATTTTTTTCCACTTTTCTTCATTACAGAAAAAGTAAATATATTCAGAATTGAACAGAATATTTAAAAAACGAACTCTTATTTAACCATCCGGCTTCTGATAATTTTGTGGCCAATCTTGTCTCTTCTAAACCTCCTCCCTCTTTTCCACCTCATCCTGTCATTTTTAAGAAAATCACAGACATTCTTTCATTTCATTCATAAGGATCTCAGTCTGTTGATCTAACAGGTAAAGATTTACACTTGGTTCCTTTTAAAGACAAGCAGACCAGCTTCTTCCCCGATTCTGCTTCATTTAAACTCTATAGTCAAAAATCTCATCATCTATTCTTCTTTGGGGAAGACAGATCCATTCTTCTCTGTACACTTACTGTTTTACACTGGGGGACAGGATCTTTGCAAGGGACCTAACAATCTTGGGATGTGTCCTCTCTGTTGGTTACTACCTTCCCTGCCTCAAGAACCCAACCCAAAGATTGCCTCCAAACTCCTGCAAGCTTGCCTCAAAGAATGGGCTACACAGTCAGAACCATTTTAATGGTCAGGTAAAGTCATTGGAGGTTGGCAAATATGTATTTGTCACTGACAAATATTTACCAGACATCTGCTGTTTAAGCAGGCCAATAGATGTCACAGGAGCTAAGAGGGCACCTTGCTCTCAGAATGCTAGTATCTAGTTGGGCAATATCAATAACGAGTAACAGGATTACACAAGTCATTTTCAGACTATACCCTCATCCGAGTTGGGAGTTGATGGCAGATGTTGCTGGTCTGGGATAGGAAGTGTGGACGTTCAGCCCAGGCAGAAGGGCAGGTGGTAAGCAGCAGCCAGGGAAGTGAAGACCATGCTTCCCCAAGGCACCGGTCAGCTCCCTACCCCCAACCCCCCACCACACACCTCCAAACCTGCAGAGGCCTCCACAGGTTCTACTACAAGATCTTGCCATCCAACTCATTCAATGAAATGTTACATTAAAAACTTGAATTGTTATTACAAAGACAATATAGCTATAGAAGAAAATGCTGATTCCATAATGTTAAACTGAAAAACAGCACATAAAACTCCACCGACGCTGAGATGGCAGCTAAGTCTACCACCAAAAAGCCTTTCCTGTCAGACCGTATGGACTTCACTTCTTCAGAAACACCATTCTGCAATGCCATGCCTCCCTGTTTTTAAAAATCTAATTAAAAAAATAGAAAACAGATCACTCCAAGCTCCCAATCTAAAATGCGGAAGGGACAATTTTACCCTCTTATATCTGACACTGACACTAATACACATATTTATTTCTCTGTTGGGCTGAAGAATGGAGAGAATAAAGTTCAAAGCCTGTTGCTTAGGGGAAGTAAGAGGTGGCAGGCTGTGAGCCCCACGCCAGCACAAAGTTCAGGTAGGAACAACCTCTTCTTAGTCCTTCTCAGGAAGGGCACTGGGAGGAACTTCCCAGAGGGCAAGAGTGAGGGTATGGCATATCTCTGACTGGTGACAGCCCCACCACCCAGCACCAGGCATCAGGGGAACTGGTCCAACCACTTGGGAGGCAGTGGAAGCCTAACCCTGGGAAGTGGGTCAGCATCACCCAGTGGGGAGCAAAGACTCCTAATAACAGTTGTAAAGCACTTTGCAAATAAGAGGAAAAACTTACAACAATGGCTGTAGAGTGCTTTGCAAACACCCAATGAGATAACAGTGATGGATTATTGTTGGGAGGCTGCGGCTAGGGGGCAGGAGGCAGGGAAGAAAGACCATCAGGGACAGACCTCGGTGCAGGTGCTTGGGGAGGGCTGAGGACAGGTAAAAGAGCTGGGAGATTTAGGAATCTGACCTTTTCTCAAACCATCGGGGCCATGCTCAGAATTGCACATTGCTCCCAGGCTTGGCCCAGTTTGAGTCTGCAGGCAGACAGCCAACCGAAGCAAGACTGATAGTGTGCCGCTCACAGGAAGTATCAATTAACAATTATTTTAGCAATCAAAAGCTCAAAATGAATTAGGGGTGGAATCTAACTCCTCACTGCCATTCCATGCCCTGCTCTAAACATTTTTTTTACGGCTGGGTCATAGCTCAGTGGTGGAGTGCTTATCCAGCACACAGAAGACCCTGGGTTCCATCCCTAGTACTGGAAAAAGGAAAAGAAAAATTCTTTTAAAAGGGGGAAATGAATCCAGTCTCCTGATGTGCAATGGGCATAGGAATCATGACAGACAACTCCACTCAAGAGCCTGAAAGAAAAATGAATCCAGGAGGTTGGAGGATCCCAGTCCTGACTTCCCAGGGAACTGACACCATCGAAGGCCCAGACTCGCCCCTCTCTCTGACCTCCTGCATCCAAATGGGCAAACCTACCCACTTGGACTCTGCCCGAGGAACTCTCAGAGGGAAGCAAGTCAGGATCAAGGAGGCAAGGCAGAGGAGGAAGGGAGGGAGAAGAGGGGAATTGGAGACCAGGCTTCGACTGGCAACACCTCTGGGCACTGCCCCAAAGCAGGATTTGTCTCCTGACTGCTGGACAGCAAGCTTGGCTGTATGCCAGGTGATTGTGTGCCAACCTGACACACAGGTGCCACAAGCCAGGTCTTACCCTGTGGCATACATGCCACTTGGGAATTCCACTTGCTGGGAAAGCTGGATCTTGAGCCAGAGCCCACTTTGGAGGGACCCTCATCTCACGCTGGGTTTTGGAGTTGATGTGGTTTCTGACGGGGGCACTAGAGCTCAAACATCTGCCCTGTGTCTGTCATACAGTGCCCCGTGACAAGTGCTGGACACATAGGCATACACAAAAGTTGGAGCCAAAATCTCTGCCCAAGGGCAAACGGGCCGGGAATACACAACTCACAACAAATGATCCCATTCATTGTGACAAGCAGCAGCAGGCCTGGGCTTTAGTCCCTGCCTCTATTTCTGCTGTCCTAGGTCACTCTGTAATCTATGCAGGGAAGGAGGATCCATACACACAATGAC